GGGCAAAACAGAGGTTAATGACACGCCACCGCGGCAGGACGCAGGCCTCCTGTCACACTGCAAAGTAACAACGCAAGTTATTCTCTCCGACAGACCTGGGGGCAAGTCAGGCGTGGACCTGTCAAAGCAAAGCTGCCGGTCAGCCAGGTGCCCACAGTGCCCATGAGCAGGAGCTGCCCACCTCGCAAAGGAGGTCGTGGGCAGGGATGGGCACCAGGGCGGAGGCGGAGGGAGGGCTCATCTGGAGAGAAGGCGGGGGGAGGGGGAGTCGGAGGGGTTCTCGGGGAGTCCCAAGGAGGTAGGACCGGGAGGCCCGACCTGGCCCAGCCACCGGAGCAGCAGGAGCAAGGAGAGAACCAGTTCAGTGAGGAAACATCGGTTGGGGACTTGGTTGTTGTTGAATCTGAAAATTAAACAGTGGAATTAAAGCCTCAGTTAAAACCTCACAGAGGAAAGACAATCTGGACCCCTTGCCTGTGAAAGCAAAGCTGAGTTAAGTCCAAGGACCCATGCTCCTCGGCGGCAGTGCGTGCCTCCTGCGGACACAAAGCATGAGGGCAGTGCGGAAGCAGCAGCGCCCACAGGGCCCCAGGCGGGAAGCAGCAGCAGGGAGCCCTGCTGACACAGGTGCCAGGCAGCTGCCAGAAGAACACGTGAAAAAAACACATCTGCCCACCCTATGGGACCCACTACTGCTTAAAAACCGCGTGATGCTTCCTGAGGACGGGCATGGGACTCTGCGTGCCTTTTAGAACCAGTAAGTGGGCACGCAGAGCGCCCAGCCGGGCTCCATCCAGAGCCAGAGGGGAGAGCCTCCCCAGCAGCGCTCTCTCCTGTCCGCAGACTCACAGGGCTTCCTACAGAGCATGGCCGAGCAGAGCGCGGTGTGTGACCATCCTCTGGGAAAGGAGGTCACTCCGCAAAGCCAACGACCTTCCCAACCATCCGTCAGCGGACGGTACACCTGGGATCCAATATGAATCAGCGGGTTTTGCAGTTTCCAGTGCACAGAACCACGGCACTTTAAGTGATAAAAATTAAATACTAGTAGGTTGCAAAAGAACCTTACACACAAATCCTTAGGATTTAATAATAAATCAAGGCCAGCGCCTTTGGAGAGTTCTTATTTAAGAATGTTCAAATAACACTTCACAAATTTTAAAAATAGTTGAAAAGATCAACTAAAATGTTCATTAAATAAATATATCAATCTAAACTTCTAACTGATCTGACTCTGTGGTTCCCTTCCTGGGGGGTCTCTTGTCCCATCTCCCCCCCCTCCCGTTAGTGAATTCCCTTTCTCACACATCACTGAGAAATGTGTGAACCAGCAATACCTTAAGCACCTTCTCTAAATAAGCGATCACACAGTGGGAGCTCTACCTGACCAGAGGGGAGGCAGAGCAGGCCTCACAGGACGTGGAAGTCAGGTGGGGGCCTACGAGCAGGGAGGGAGGGCCCTGGCAGCGCAGGAGCCCACAGCCATAAGACATCGGCAAGGACGGCCAGCCGAGCGCTGCCTCTCCGGGCTCCACGCACAGACTCACTCCAAACCTAACTGTTCTCATAGGGCCCATCAGTCCAATGGTGTAAAGCACAGCAAGCTTACCTTCGACTGAATAGAAATAAAACACAAAACAAACACAACAAAACAGAAAACTGAAAGCCAAAGCAAAAGACTTGGCAGCTGCTCCAAACCAGCTCTCACTCATCTACCCCACAGAGCCACCTGCCCTCCGGTGGGCCAAGCAGAAGGACCACCTGGTGCAAGACGGCTCTCCATCGCCCTCCCACCTCCCGCGGGAGCACCAGCGGACACCTACCACGCCCATGCGCCCACCGCCCGCAGCCCGCCTGCACAGCCTGCTCCCGAGTGCACATGTCAGGAATCGGGCCACGGTGACGTCTCATTACAGCGGCTTCCTTCTACAAAACCTCCTCTCCCACAGCTGCCCTTCCTCCGGCCCTCACCCCACTCCTTCTCGGCTCCTCCTAGCAGCAAAGTCCTCTGTTGGGGAATTAAGCAAAATGCTGTGTGAAAAAGACCCCAGGTGCAGGATCTACCTCTGTCACAGTTCAGAGATGCTACAGAACCAGCATGAACATTGTTTCTCAGGACCTTTACACACATGATGAGGACGACCCAAGTTAAAAGTGCTTAAGATGAAGCCTGCTCCCTTTGCCCACCCCGCCTCCCAGGGCCTGCGGCCACAGGCACCCGCTGAGGGTGCTGCCTGTCCAGACATGGGACCCTCAACATTTCTTTTGGGGAAAAAGACAAGATTTTTCCTTTAGAAAACGGTCAGTATAAGGACTTAACAAATGTGGCCAGACCAACAGCAATGCAAGCTTATGCTCAGATAGGCAGCTAGGTGAACTTGTTACAGCACAAAACCAAAACAGGGTAATGCGAAAGGAAAGTAATGGCTCCACATCATTACCAACTGCATCTACCTTATGAGATATACTGATATTTACTGGCTTGAAGCTTCTTGAATTTGTGAGCAAATAATACACAGGTCAGGATCAATGTATTGACTTACTCCCATCTTTATAAAAATCGGATATACACACGAACACGTCAACAATTATGGAACTGCATCCATTAAACTTTGATGAGACAACACAAAAGAACTAGCAAAGAGCTAAGGTGTCGCTGAATTGAAAACATCTCCAATAACACTTCAATTTTAAAAGGTCCATATTTACACAGAGTGTTGGATGCATCTGCGTCTCATTTAAATGCATGATAAATAAAGAACAGAGATAATGGTTGCAACAGATCTTCCAAGAGGGTTCAGCTACGGTGATCCACTTCCCTGCGAGAAGTGCACCACGAATGGAAATAAAATCCCTTTCTAATGCTGCTGCTTTCCTTTTCAGTAGTTTCCTCCAAGGAAACTAACTCAATTTTGTCCCCAGGCCCGGCTGCCTGCAGGGTCCCCACCCTGCGGCCCATGTGGCATGTGCCCACCTGGGTTCTGGAAAAGGCCCACTTCCCCCTAGAGGACAGGGCATGGAGAAAAAGCATGCCCGTGTGTGCAGACAGCAGACACACATCCAGGCACCCGGGTCCTATCATGCCAAACACAGGCCCTGGAGCACCGGGCGTGTCTGAACAGCCGCAGGTTGGCTGCCGTCACTGCTGGGAAGAAAGGATGCTACACGCCACTCTCCAGAGCCACCGCACACTCAGACTATTTCAGAAAGCAGCAAAAGTTTGTTCAACTCATCCTGTGTGGCAGCAAGTCTCGAGGACGGTCCCTCAACTGGGCCTTCCCGCCGGCGACAGAGTGGGGAGTGGCCTGAATCTAACTAGAGCTCTGGCTACCTTGTCACCTCAACGCTCACCGCTACGCATCCCTGTGAGCTCCCTGCAGCTGTGAAAGTGGGCAGCTGCTGGGCACAGGGCACGGACTCGGGGTGGGGCAGGCCAGTCAGGGGGCGCTCCCGGGGACCCTCAGAGTGCCTGCACTTTCCGGAGCTGACCTCGTTCTCCAGGCTCACTCAGCACACCGTGCTGACAGTCAACACCACACAAGGTCTCACAGCATCTGGATACTCCCCTTCAGTTCTGCTTACTCACTTTGAAAAAGTAAAATAAAACCTCAACTGTACAAACACGATGGTGCAAGCCCCCACAACGTGGGCCTCAGGTCCCACGAGGAGGCCAAGTCTCGAGGCGCCATCTCTGCACAGGCCTCCGGGCTCCCAATCTGGCCCCACTGGAGAACCAGACAGTAAGTGGCAGCATGCTTCTATTTCTATCACCTCTACGGAGAACTCAGCCGTGACGTGTCAGGTATGAAATACAGCTAAAAGGTCTAAGTGCCCCCAGTACCGTTCGCTCAGTTAGGTCCTCGTCAGAGTAACTCCCCGTGACTCCGCGGTGAGCAGACATGCAGGAAGGCACGTTTCCACGCGCGCCCAGAGTAAATTCTCCTCAGCTTGCTCTGTGGGAGCACAGCCCCACCTAAAAGAGCCCACGCACTATCACTCATGGGTGACACAAACTTCACTCTGGATCTCACTGTCCCTGTGAGACAGCCTTCCTCGCACCACACGCCGTGAAGAGTGGCGTGCTGGGGTCTATGTCACCTTGCCTTGGGTCTAATGAAGGACACGCAGCGCCACTCAAAGGCCTTATAAAAACAGATCATTCAAAGCAATGATAGCAGCTTTCCCAAGACCCCTGCGTGTCAGAGCCAGTGACATCTGCCGCTTTGGACTGCATTTAAAAGAAAAAAACCAACCAGGTCTGTTCAAGCTTCAGGCTGTCCCGCTGCCCAGCAGGCCCACTGTGCACCCCACCAGGCAGGGAGTCCAGTGAGGGTCCCGGCCAGGCAGCACCCCAGGGAAGCACAGTGGTGACCACCTGGTCCTTGCCTATTTGGGAAGTTAATAATGGGTGGGGAGTCCCCTCAGGAACTCGGAATATGCAACTGCGCTTCTGGAACCTTTATAGGAAGCAGAATCGGCCACACCGTGCCCCTGCCCCACCCGCCCTCAGGCAGCTGTCAATCACAATCACCCACATTTTCGCCTGTTTTTACAAGCACCAGCAGAGGGCTTTCTAAAACGCCTCTGGTCTAGCCTGCACTGAAGATAAGTGCAACCATTATCAAATATTCTTTGCTGCGGAGAGTACTCAAATTTGTGCCGCTAATGTTCCTCCCTGAACCTAAGTCACGGTGACGATCGATCAGATGGTAAAATTACGAAGAACAGTGTCTACATGCATTGTCAGCACTTTGAAAACAAAAGAAAACAAAAACCGGAGTTCTCGGAAGTGGCCACAGAACTTGAAGCCATCAACACTGAACTCCAGCCTGCCACCTCCTGCAAGTTCAGCTCTCCCGGAACCGATGCTGGCCACCCGGCGCTCTGGACAAGAGTCAGCAGATGGACGCAGACCTCGCTGGCGGGTCCTGTGCAGGCAGCTTCCTTGAAGACAGTCCACAGCTGTGTGTGCAGTGTTAAGTCAGCCTCCCTGCTGGAAATCATTCCACAATCAGGGCCACATTTATGTGGGACAAATCGATCATGTGCCTGTAGAGATGGAAACAAATAGCCCAAGTTAAGGGAACTCTGCACACAGCAGGCAACTGACAGAAACAGGAGAAAGCCAGAGGGGAAGGGTGAGCCCTGATTGACAGGGGAAAGGTGGCCCCGAGGGACAAGTGTCTACATGAGAAGAAGCACTGTCCCCTGTGCATGAATGTGCATCTGTAGTGACAGGTCACACATGACAGTATGCGAAGCAACAGCTATGGCGACCGAGAGCAGATGGCAGAGGAAAGGTCCCGCCTGCACCCACGTCACCAAACCCATGGAATCCACCGCTACCTGTGGAACTTCTGCTGAAATGCCAACGCGTGGGCTGGCTCCTTAAACTTGGCTATGGCTTTCCGTTGCTGGGGAAGCATCTGTAAACTCTAGAGGAAGGAAACAAAGAAACGTTTTAACATCGTGCTTTATATGGTTAAAAAATATATACATGCAAACATTAGACTTAATACAATTGAAGTTCAGGCTGATACTTGGATCACTAAAACAAATTCCATTTTGTGGGAATTTTTCTTACCCTTCTAGATAATATATCCAAAAACTCTGTTTCAGGAGGTCATTCCCCTGACCAGCACTTATAATCTCCAAGCCTGGCATCAAGACCTTGTGTCGTCTGACCACACCAGCTGCCCAATCTCCCCTAAACTTTCTCTGAGGCTTTGTGACAAATACCCTTGGAGAGCCACCTTCTGTTCTCAGGCATTCCTGTCAGGTGACTGTCCATGGAATCTAGATTTTGGAAATACTATGCTCCTCTTCTTGGGGGGGGGGGGGGGGGGGGGGGGAGTTTCTAGATTTCCAGGGTGCCTATCTGGTGTGTGTGAGTCGCCAATGTGAAGGAATGAGCTTCGTTTTTACCATTTACCATATGAGAGGATTTGTGGATGTGTGTCTGAGTGGTTTAAATCTCAAATATGATGAAGACTATCCGTCAAGACAGCATACACGGCAATGAAGTTCTTCAGCCACGAGAATGACTGGCTCTCCGTGGTCCACACCCGTCACGAGAACATTGCCTACAGTGGCCTGCTGGCTGCTCCCCTTTATTTACATTGTGGTGCCCTTTCAGTAAGACAAACCCTCATTTTCTAGACGCGAGAATGAACTGTAGAAGTTGTCATAGTCAACCTATCGGGATGATAACATTAGTGATTTCTTTGGGAGGACAAACATGCTTCACTGAAAGTTGAAAGGCTAACAGTCACTGGTTTCCACGTTTCCACGTAAACAATCACCCGGAACAGACCAAATGTTAACATCTGTCTCCATCTCCGCTGTTCACTGACTCCCCAGCCCGCTCCCTGCAGCACTCGCCAGCCTTCCCGAGTGCTCCCACTCTTTCGAGACAAGATGTCTTCAGAGTTTCTGAGAACACGTAATTGCTCTGCTACTGATCACAAAACACTAGCTGAAGTGCTCCCCGAGTGGGCCTTCCTGTGCTCATACTCAAGTCCCATCAGAGCCATGTGACTGCACTGCGTGGAACTCCACTAACCACAACGTGCATGCGGTGCAGAAGCCTCCGTCCCCCCAGGACCGTCCTCTTTCAGGGAGGAGCATGTGTCCCTGCTGGACAAAGAAATGAATTGTTGTTGGGGAACAAAACCGACTCCATCCTGACAGACCCACTCCATGCTTTCCCCTCTGGCCGATGATTCTTCAAAGATGGCCTAAAGCCAAAACGATACAAACTCTTAAGCACAAGGGGAACTGCCCAAAACAGCCCTGTTTGGGGACGGTGTGCGGCCCTCTCCCCACTTGACAGCTCTGCAGCCCCCTGTGGCAGTCGGCCTTGCCCGGGCATCTTTGCTCCTCCAGGCGCAGTGCTTTTCGGAGAGAAACAAGTAGGACCTTATTCTGGAAGTCTCCCTGTGCACGGTTCACTGTCTGGAGGGGTCCGAGCAGAAACACGGGCAAGTTTGCTGCAGAGCTCGGGCAGCCCCACCCCACGCCGTCACAGAATCGTCGGCACGTTCCCACCTGCCTGTTCTCTGACACAGACGTGCGTGTCTCCTGGGTTCCTACGGGTCTCCTGAGTTTCTTCACGCCCATCCACATCCACCACAGGTTGTCCACGCTCCCTGACCCCTCACACCGATCCTTCAGACACAGGGCTCCTCAGAGCTCTGCCTCCCGCTGCCTCCTGAGAACCCAGGGCCTCCAGGTTTACAACGGTCCCGAGCCTCTCTGGGGACCTCCATGACAAATGCGGGTCCTATGGGCTTCTTTAGACCTGGTGGTGAGACCAGGGTCCTATGGGCTTCTTTAGACCCGGCAGCCTACGTCTGACATCCTGCTGGTTGCTTTCCCAAATGTGCTAACTGCAAAATGGCTCCCTCTTTCACTGGGGATGCCAGCGTCTTCATGTCACTCACCAGCCCCTTCTTGGCCAGTCAGAAGCAGATGCAGTGAGTGTTCTTGCCAACGCATGTCCCTTAAGAGGTCAGATTCTCTGCGGTGACCCTGCCTTCCTGGCAGCTTGGGGGACTCCCGTCTGGGTGGACGGAGATGTTGTCTGAGGCTGGCAAGCATGTCCTGAAGCAGCTGCCCTCGGACAAGACCTGCTGATGTAGGTGCCCCAGCGGAAGGGGACCTGCGCTTTGTCCTCCCTGCTTTCACACGCTTAGCCCTGTGACATGGCCCGTTTCTTCTGCTCCCCTCCCTGCCAGGTTAAGCCAGGGAACGATGAGGTGCGAGCTGTGTTCCCAGTCTTTTGTGATTTATGAGAGCCTGAGGGAAACACCAAGACTCACGAGGTGGAAAGTCGCTCAGCCTGAAAGTCGCACACAAAGAAATGGCAAAATCGGGACTTCCGCTGAAGCCTTACCTCAAAGCCCTGCTCCTGCTGCCACCAGCTGCAGTCTACCTCCCACCAGCAGAGACACGGTGTCGGCACAAGCCAGGCACAGGCAGGCCACATCTAAGCACCAGCCGTTACTACGGGGCGAGGGTTGCGGGGAACCTTAAGTGATCACCAACTCCACTCTCCTGAGGAAATGACTCTTTTTATACCATGATGTTTCATTCATTATAAAATAACAAATGTTTAACACAATTTTAGGCACAAAACTGCAAACGGAAATAAAGATAATGAAGCAAAGGGGCCTAGGAGGCTGTGACGCCCCTGCTCCCTGCTCCTGAGCGGCTCAGTCTTCCGGAGCAGGAGGGGGGCCAGCCGTACCCCACACCCCTGCGCCGAGAACTGCTGGTGACACGCCCGGCTGACTCACACTCACCCTCGCATCGGAAATTCTGAAACTTGATACTTCTTGTGTCATTTCTCCCTTCTGGTTAGAATATTCTACAAAACCTCATTTTTTTCTTATTGTGTAAATAATGAGTCTACAGACAAATGTCTCTTCAATGGCCGTTCTAGAGAGGTTTGTGATGATGGTCTAAGGGAAGAGCGACGTGGATGCCTTGCTCCATATTGGGCAAGCCTCTCAGATTCCACAGCTAAGCAGCAGACCTTCCACTGCAGTGCCATCGACAGACCCTGTCATATAGAAACCCACTCCTATAGATCATATTAACTAACTAGTGGCCTGGTGCATGGATTCGTGCACACTGAAAGGAAATTAATTATAAGAAATATTTCGATATTGCTATTCGCCCTTTCTCTATAATAGAAGTGTCAGAGATGAAACAAAATTAGTAAAATGTATATGGAAATAATAAATTGATTAATAAATAAACAAAAACAAGCTATAACAACTAAGATGATATAAACCAAAAACATGTTATAAAAACATTGATAAAAAATAATGACTGATAAATTGATTAAACTTATTCTAATATCTCCCTATATACCACATTAAGAGTGAAAACACTTTCAGAGTACTTGACTAAATTTCCCTTGTGATGAATGAAGTATTCGCAATGTTAACTTTAATGTCACACAATCTTCTAATTCGAGAGAAAGCAACATATATCTGACCATGTCCGAATATGGGTTCAGGTAGGAATATTCCTACTCTGTCTAGAATTTGTACTTGTGACTTATTAATAGTCACCGCAAATGCTGGCATCATAGGAAACTGTCTTCAAATTCATTTAAGTGGAAGGCCAGTGTCAGATGGGAACAAGTATCATGCATACGTGAGTAAACGTTTATTTTTAAAGTGCCAGTGTGCATCATATGTACTGGGTGGTCAGTTGGACGTACGTACATACGTACAAGTCAGTCACTTAGCCTTTTATTTATATATATATATAGAGTCACCCAATAAATTTTATTAGAAAAGAAAAAAAGGGGGGGGAGGGGAGAGATGACACATTGCAGACACCACCACCACCGCTATTACACCATGTGGATTCGAGGTGGCACCACAGTTCAACACTCACAGGCTTTGCTGGGTCATCACAATGGGAACCCCACCTCAGCTCCATCCCTGCCAAGTCTATTTATATTTAAAATATAATTATAACAAGACATTGTTATATATTTTCAAAATTTATACTCACAATGATATTCTAACACTACTGTAGAAGCTTGTTCTATCAGTGTGGTTACAGACTGAGCGTCTTAGCATGTGTGGCTGCAGCTTAAACAGCTACACCCTCACTCACAACCATCCCAGGAGCAAGACTGGCAAGGACAAAGAGCACTCGGCTCAGCCCCAGGCAGATGCACAGGCTCTGGCAGAAGCTCTACACCCAGGGAATTCCACAGGACACAGGGGACCTCACCTTTCTTTTAAGGGTACTTTCTTATAAGGGTAAGTGCTGTAACCTAGAAAACAACTTTCTTGGCCTCTCTTTTTCTCATTAAACAATTCAACATTGTTTTTGCCCTGCTTCAAGTGCCCTCATTCAAACTTTATTATTTATAATAATATAGAGGCCCAGTGAACGAAATTCATGCACGAGGAGGCAGGGGGGCAGGGGTGTCCCTCAGCCCAGCCTGCACCTCTCCAATATGGGACATCCCTCTCACAATCCAGGACTGCTGGCTTCCAACCACTCACCTGCCTGCCAGCCTGATCACCCCCTAACCACACCCCTGCCAGCCTGATTAATGCCTAACTACTCCCCTGCTGACCCGATTGCCCCTAACTGTCCTCCCTGCCTCCCCTAACTGCCTCTGCCTCAGCCCCACCACCATGGCTTTGTCCAGAAGGATGTCCAAGGTCTTATGGTCTAATTGGCATATTACCCTTTTATTATCGATAGTATAGATAGGATATGACATACCGCCATAACTATAACATATTTATCAGTATTACTCTGAGAATACATACTTCATGCAATAGAAATGCATCTAATACATTACATTATATATGTTGTAAGTGGTAGGAAATATTATATTGGTAGCAATAATATACACCTTGTGACTTCCCTTCCTGATTTTGGAATGGTTCCCCAGTTCTTTGTACGTTTCCTAGCCTCTTATTTATTTATTTTTTGTCATTCAATATAACTTTATTTACTGTTATATACTCAGAATGTTACATATACTGACTTCTTAATTCATATAGTATCAGGAACTCAACTGTTTGGTTGGTGATGGGGTTGACCTGGTTTGGGAGGATTATTCCTGAAATAATTAAGGAAAAGGGGGCTCAATCTTTCTTCTTGGCTGCTTGCTCCTCCCCAGCACCTTCTCCTTTCTTCTCATTCTCAGCTTCTTGGGCATCTTCTCCTTCACCTTCACCTCCTTCTTCGTCTTTGCATCCTCAAATTCTTCCTTGGCACCTCTTCCTCTTCCTCTCCTTCCTCTTCCTCAGCCTCTTCCTTCTCCTCCTCCTCTTCAGCTTCTCCTCCAGAAGTGGGTTCACCCTTAGCTCCCTCGGCTTTTGCAGCCTCAATGATCTCCTCCACCTCGATCTGCTCCTCCTGACGTGGCTGCTGTATTAAGAAGGGAAGGAGTAAGCGGACATCAAGTAGGAGCTGGTCTGTAAACCACCGTAGGCAGATCGGTTAAAGACCTGGGAACTCTGGGAGTAGTTGCTGACTATGCTTCCTACTGGTGATGGTGAATCTGAGCCAGGTCTCCTCATCTTCTAAGAATTTCCTGTAAGCTGCAATGTCTATGTCCAAAGCCTTCTTCTCACTGAGGAGGTCCTGGTATTCTTTTAAATATGACATTTCACTCTCTGTAGTTCTCAACTCCTTTTCTAATTTGTTGAATGTGTCCTGCAGAGCACTTATATCAGAGTTCTGCTTATCCTCCAGCTCTTGCAGCCTCTTTTCCAGTGCTTCATTCATGCCCCAGCATGCTTTGATCTCCAGGGTCTTGGCCTTGAGCAGGCAGCGGCTCTCAGACACCTCATCCTTGGGGGCATGCAACGCATGAGTGTTCTTGGCAGTGCTCTTAGTCAGCACGGTGAAGCGGCTCTGGAACCATCCTTCGGCATTCTGCATGTTCTTGGCAGCCAGATTCTCTTACTGGGCGCAGATGTCCTTGAGCGTGGTGGAGAGGTCGAACTTGGAGAACACGTCCATCTCCACAGAGATCTGAGCGTACTGGATCTGTGCCTTCAGCTCCTCTTCATGCACCTTCTTCAGAAAGGTAATTTCCTCCATCAGGCTGTCAATGCGCTTTTCAAGCTGAACACCGGCTTGAGCTTCCTGGTCTGCACCTTTGCGCACCTCCAGCAGCCAGCCCTTGGCGTCCTGGCGGTTCCTCATAGTGCACCTGCAGTTTGCTCCCAGCCTCTTCTAAGCCTCTTCCTATGGGATCCGGGGCTGTACCCACGATCCCCCTGCCCTCTCCTCGCCAGGGACGGAGCACTGCAGCGAAGCACAGGAATCTCATTTTCATTAAAATGTTCAACCCGGGCCCATTCCACCTGTGTCTGCAGGCAGGCTGGGGGCAGACACTGGCCACCGGAGGCACTGGCCACCCCCGCCAGGCCTCGTGGCTGTGATTTGGACTCGCTTCCTTTAATAGGGACCTGGTGCTAGGTGGGCAGCAGCAACGCTTCCTCCCCAGCCCAGGCTAGAACGGGTCCCTGAGGTTTCAAAACCGAATTATGAGGGCAGCAGAGGCCCGGACCCCACCAGCTCTCCCTGGAACCCGCCAAGGCTTGCTTCCCACACTTGCTGAAAATCTTGTCCTCTTGCCATGGTAATCAGTTCGGGACTCTGGCCGGCCTGAGGGAATTGGGCGCCACCATCTTCTGGCTATGGGCGCCATCATTTTGTGCCAGAGTGATGGTTAATTTGCATATTACCCTTTTATTAGATAGGATGACCTCTAATCCTTCTTCAGAACAGAAAAAAAACATGGCAAATGGGAGGGAAAATAAATCATTCAAGATATCTAGAACTCAAACATATAAAATTCAGTTTTCAGGACAGAAAGACCAATGCAATGCAGCCACTGAACCTCCCTCTGTCAATGCCATGGACAGACTCTAGTCTGGAAAATGGACAGGAGAACTACCAAGGATGTATACTCTCCCTCCTCCTGAGACAGCAGGACACTGGCCTCAGCACTGACCTGTGATCTGACCCCAAATTCTTAGCTACTGTTGGTCTGAGGGTGTCCAATCAAGATGACATTTTGTACTTGAAAACAATCCTCTAGTGTCAGTTCTGTGCCTGCAAAGTAGCCTGATCACTACTATCAGGAAACAATTACCCCTATGCCCTGCCCACACCACAGAAAGCCACTCCTGAGGATATAGGCCAAAGTTCTTGGTTCACTTGTCATTACTACATACACATAAAAGGAACCCTAACATCTCTCTCAGAACCCAAAAGTGAGAAGCAGTGGAAAGGTTTAGTATTTAGAAAGGTATTTGTTATTGTTAACTTTTAGGAAATTTCAATAGTACCTGGAGATTCCAAACACATCAAGAATGAATTACTTGTATCAGCTCTAGCCTGAACTGTTTCCCATTCACTCTGGAGCAGAGCAATGTGTTACTCAGAAGCCATCCCATCAGTCAGTGTGTAAGTGCTCTGTCTCAGGCAGGCCGCCTGGGCCTGGAGTGAAAGCACCGCTCCAGCTGGCAGGGAAGGCAGCAGCGAAAGCAGTGCTAGAGGAAACTGGGAGAGCAGCTTCCTCACTGGTTTACCGACAGGTCCTGGGGAAAACCTGGTCTATAGTGGACTGGAGACCTACCAGTTGCTGCCAGCCCCAAGGAGACCCCTAAGCATTCAGAATTAGCCAGTTTTAAGAGACCAAAATACAGTCCAAATTATTTCCTATTTGTAAAATCTAATCCAAGTCCCACAGATGTTAATGTGAAAGGCTATTTCTGTAAATTAAGGTCAAGAAGGCTACTTTAAAAAATTTTAATTATCCTAATATATAAAAACCCTGGGTTGTGATGACCAGAGGCTAACCAACCAGAAGTCAGTTCTGGCTCTGCCCCTAAGCAAGCAGTAAAGGGCAATTAGGCAGGCAGGCAGGCAGGCAGAGAGGTTAGGGGTGATCAAGTAGTCAGACCAGCGGTTAGGGGAGATCAGATAGGCAGGCAAACGTTTAGGGAAAATCAGGTAGGCAGGCTGGTGGTTAGGGGTAATCAGGTAGGCAGATGGCCCCTCGCCGGGCTGGCCCCGCTCCCAAGCAACCTGTTAGGGGCAATCAGGCAGGCAAGCAGAGTGGTTGGGGTGAACAGGTAGGTAGACCAGCAGTTAGGGGTGATCAGGTAGGTAGGCGAGCAGTTAGGGGCGATCAGGTAGGCAGATGACCACTCGCAGGGCTGGCCCTGCCCCCCAGCAAAGAAAGAGGGAGGCCCAGGCCAGCCAAGCCATTGCACTCCAGCCTGTGGCCTGCAGAGGGGGGCCTCTGATGGCGGGGCGGGGGTGGGGGGGGGCAGCTCTGCACAGATGACAAGCAGTGGCAGCAGTGGGGGTGGGGCCAGCTGCCTGCAGCCCGGGGAAAGAAAGCCCCAATAGACCCCAATCTTAGGACAGGCCTAGGGACCCTACCCAAGAAAGCAGGCCAGGCTGAAAGGTTCCCCCCACTTCCCCTCAGTGTATGAATTTTCATGAACTGGGTCTCTAGTTACAAATAAAATGTGTGTGACTGGGGTGAAAAAACTATATATACATGAGCATATGTGAACTTTAGGATAATCTGAGGATTTCAAAGCATCATCTGTTCAGTTGGAATAGTTATTCCATAAAGTTTATATGTAAGCATCTGAAAATTCCCAAATAATCAAACTCTGGGGCAGAAGTTCTGACAGCAAGTGTGCACAAGAGATGTAACACCTGCCTCCTCCTTAAAAGCATTATTTTCACACAAAGTAACCTGCACTTCACGATAAAGCAGGAAGTGACTGAGTCATAAGCTGGACAACTGGCACAGGCGCCATGGAGCAGGTGCCCACCTGTATGGGTCCCACTGACATGAGCAGGCTCTTCAGCTGGGCATCAGTGGTGGATGACGACAGGCCTTCGACAGACACAACGCAGGGCTGCGGCTTGCACTCCACCACCCGCAGGTTCTGCTTATTTGGCATCGGGCGCCCGCGGCCCATTGGCCCTGCTGTTCCCCGGCCTCTCCCGTGCATGACGACCTGCCAACAACAGGAGGAACTAGTCAATTCAAAAGCTTTGGTTATTGTGCACAATTACTAGGATATATCAGTAAGCAAATAACTTAGAATCCATTAAAATACACCCTGAGCTACAGGATTTCCTATAGTTTTTGCTGTGCTCAGAAAAGAATTTAATGTCTAAAGAGGATACCACCACCCAGCAAATGTGACAGGAAAAGACAAGAGCTGGTTTGGAGCCCAGGAGGGACGAGGAGGCACCTGTTCCCTCCGTGCTAAGGATGAAGCAGCAGGCCCATGGGATCCAGCAACAGACATCAGCAGCACACTTCGGGTTCAGGTTGTTCCTTATGCCCCAGAGCCTCAGTTTCTCCCTCCATACTCCAGGCCAACTCCACAGGGATGATGCAACCCTCTGCCACCACACAGGCACCACAAGCCACAACCTCACAGATACAGCTCACGTGGTTAAGTACACACGTGCACTGGCACCCTGAGAACTGAAAGGCCACTTCTGTCACAATGGTCCCCTGGCTGCTGCCCTTTACATTCACCTGCAGAGCTTTAAATCAAACCAAAAGCCCAAACCAAGGACACAGGGCATCTACCCTGACCTCCAAAATTATGACATCACTGATCTAAGGTGGGGCCCAGACCTCAGGAGTTTTTAAAGCTGTACGGTGTTCAAAATACTGTCCTGGGACCTTTTAATAACGAGGACAGAGCTGATCTTTCTGGTCTGTTCTAACTAGGAAACAAGACAGAACACTGGTGCCAAGTGTCTCCTTGAAAACAGAACTCATCCAACACAGAACACGCGTTAGAAGCAGCCATAGAGTGGGTGGGACCGAGCAGTACCGGACTTCCCAGGCTTCCTACCCAGACTTGGCCCTAGAATTGTGGGTGGAAAGGAGAGCATGCTCGCTGGCCATCTCCACGGCAGCAGGAAACTACTGCAACCTGGGTGGTGGGTGCTGTCCCGAAGCTGCATCATTAAAAAGTCATGACAGGAAGCATGCAGTCACTCCTTCCCGTCAGACCATTCTAGCTTCACACTCCCAGCACTGGTGAGAACACAGTTGTACCTTCTTGGTGGGGTGAATCCCTTGGATGCTCTTGATGCCTGGAGGGCCTGCTGAGTACACATGGGCCCCGACTGGCAGGTGCTGGGGCTGCTGAAGGGCCCCCTTGGTCAGCGTCACCTTGCGGACAGGCTGCTGTCTCACTTCTGGAGGCTGGGGAGGTCGCTGGGGCTGGCCGTCCGGGTGAAAAAAGCCATCGCTCTCTCCTCCCTGCTGAAAGGAACAAGGCGGCATACTGGTCAGTAATTGCACAGCCAGCCAGCCCTCCCCAACATCGGACAGTGTCCCATTGAGACACAAAACCATCAAACGACAGAAAACCAAACCTCTTGTTTCACTAGAGCCACTAGGACATTTCTCACTTGACAGTGTTTGGGTTTAAGTAACCGTTTTGAAATGAAAAACAGTAAGATCTTGGATTAGTGTACCCACTCAAGAGGTCTGCAATTAAAGGAAAAGCTGTTTAGCTCAATAAAATATTGCTTAACTTAAAAAATACTTCATACTCAACAAGCATTTCCCATCTGCATGAGTGTTTGTGTTAGAATCTGAGAGTTTGCATAATCAGTGATTTTAACTCTTAACTCATATTTAAATTTAAGGGAAGCAGGCCACCATGCTCCCTTGTCCTCTGGTTGTGGTCATGAATCCTGGGCCATGTCCAGCCCATCCTTCCTCGGACACCACACTGCACATGGACTCTGGGCTCAGGGGTCCTGTTGAGTCACAAATGCCATTACCAACTAGAGTCAATGATTCAGAGGAGGAACTCCTGCATTCTAGTAAGAGTTTTCAAGTATCAGAAATCTAACCTTTTGCCTTTTACTACTGTTCCCTCATTTCATGACCTTAAATACTGTTAATCAGTGAAGAAGTAAGCACACACTCAAGCTACACTGAGAGTCCTAACTCCACCGGGTAGCAAAAAGCCATCTGGCTGTGCCTGTTGGCCAACTTTCAGTGAGAAGTGTAGCATCTTCCCAGCAGGGAGCTGGTGACCAAGACAGAAAAGTGGATACAAGAAAGTCAGACCGGGACCTGCCAAATTATGTCATCTTATCAGAAATGGATGGTTGAAGGTGAAACTAGACTCAGACCTCTCTGAGCACTACACTCTGCTCCCAACATAAACAGAAACATATTGGTCGATGGCTAACCTTCCCCATGCAGACTGCTGAGTTATATAGTATTTCCAAGAGGAGCTTGGTAAATTAGCCCAGAAGCAGCCCCTATATTTTCTGTCTCTTTTCCCTCTAAATGTATCTTTTGAAGACAGTTTAATGGAACAAAGGGAAGGAACAGGGGCTGGAGCAAGCCAAGAATAGGTAAAATGTTTGCAAAAACAGTCCAAACTAAGGAAAAATGAGATTAAAAGTCACAGGTGGTCTTCTGGCTATGGAAGCACGGAGAGAGCAGCAAAGCCTCCCCGCCCCCAACCCGAAGAATATAACTGGGCAAAACAAGAATTGCAGGTCTTGGAGTGGAGCAGCAAGAGCAATGGATATAGGGCCTCGGGATAGGAAGTCACAGAGCTGATCTGAAACGTCAAGCAGCACCACCAGTGAAGTCGGTGGAGGGAACAGGAAGCATCCACAGATCTGATGGCCTCTGATCTTGGTCCTATTTGCAACAATAGTTGACCAGCCAGAAATCCGAGAAACTGAGGAAATTCCGGTCATGAAAGAGCTACTGATGGTGTAGGAAGTCCTTCCCATGCAGCTGTCAGGGTTTCAGGCAGTGCCCACTCTGACCACACAGATTCCCTGCAGAGGGCCCCCAGGAACCTGGATACAATCTCTTCCTGGCCAACTGACTGACCACTGAACTGAACAAAAATACAACATATCAAAATTAAGGGGATGTAACCAGCAGGTGTGGCTCAGTGGTTCAGTGTCGATCCATGAACCAGGAGGTCATAGTTCTATTTTCAGTCAGGGCACATGCCCAGTTGTAGGCTCCATCCCCAATAGGGTTGTGCAAGAAGCAGCCAATTCATGATTCTCTCTCATCACTGATGTTTCTATCTCTTTCTCCCTCTCAGAAATATATACATATATATGTGTGTGTGTGTATCATCATCATAATAATCATAATAATAAAGAGCTAATATGCTAATGGTTGGGAGGCTGTAATGCATAATGACTGGTTGCAGGAGGCTGCCTGTGCGTGCGAGGCGCTGCTCCAGAGACAGAGACAGAGACAGGGCTGAAGCGGGGAGCCGTCCGAAGGAGGTGGGAGGTGAGACCATCCCGTGCTGGGGAAGGCGGGGTGAGAGCCCATAGCATCACCCTTACCCATCTTTCACCACCCACGGCTCACACTCAGAGAGCCCCACCACCCACCTGCCAGAGGAAGGAGCACAGTGCAGCAGGCAGGAGGCTTCCAGGAAGCAGGGAGGTGCCTGGAGAAGGCGGGACCAACCTGAGGTGACTGGAGGGACTGAGAGTGGGGCTTGAAGTATATGAGGAAGCAAAAATAGCCAATGAAAAGAGCAAAAAGAAAAAATAATCCAAAAATATGAAGATTAGTGTAAGAAGCCTCTGGGACAACTTAAGTGTACCAACATTCGCATTATGGGAGTGTAATAGGGAAAAGAGAGCAAGATATTGAAACCTATGTGAAGAATTAATGACAGAAAACTTCTCCTAACTGGTGAAGAAATAGACTTACAAGTATAGGAAGAGCAGAGGAACTCAAAGAGGCCCACACCAAGACACATCATAATTAAAATGCCAAGAGTTAAAGACAAAGAGAGAATATTAAAGGCAGGAAGAGAAAAACAGTTAATTACCTATTGTTGCTGATTTCTGAACAGAATCTTTGCAGACCAGAAGGGAGTGGCAAGAAATACTCAAGGTGTTGAATAGCAAGGATCTACAACCAAAATTACTCTACCCAGCAAAGCTATCATTTGGAATTGAAGGTCATATAAAGAATTTCAGAGTCAAGAAAAAGCAAAAGGAGTTCATCACCACCAATCCAGTACTACATGAAATGTTGAAGAGTATTCTTTAAGAAGAGGAAGAAAACAAAGATGAAGAAGAAAAAATAATAGATCTAAAATATGAACAATAAAATGGAAATAAGTACATGTCTATTAACAATTGAAAATAAAATAAGTGAACAAGTAATCTAATGAACAAAACAAACTGATGAATAAAATAGAATCAGAGGATGGAAACATGAAATAGACTAAGACTCCAAAGGGAAGGAGGGTAGAGGAATGGGAAGAGATTAAGGTGGTGAAGGCCTGGGGTAGGGCAGAAATTGGATAGAGGGGCCGGCACCGGTTTGGCTCAGTGGATAGAGTGTCAGCCTGCAGACTGAAAGGTCCCTGGTTCGATTCCAGTCAAGGGCATGTACCTTGGTTGCGGGAACATCCCCAGTAGGGGGTGTGCAAGAGGCAGCTGGTCAATGATTCTCTCTCATCGACGTTTCTAACTCTCTATCCCTCTCTCTTCCTCTCTGTGAAAAACTCAATAAAATATATTTTTAAAAAAAGAAGAAGAAAGAAAGAAATTAGGTAGAGGGGTACAAGGGGGGGAGGGGTAAGGGGGACATCTGTAATACTCTTAACAATAAAATTTATTTTTTTAAAAAGAATAGGCTTTTTTCCCAAATGAGAGAAAAAGTCTTCCTTTTCAAATTCTTACCAAAAATTAATTCCAGAATTATTTCAACACTGGCAAAGAGCCAAACTATACTTCACTAGTTGTGGCCAGACTCACCCAGGGACAGACCAAACTGATTGCATACATTTATTTAGGAGTCTTCAAGAACTTAAGCATATATCATAGTTACAGCACTGAAAGATATAAATTAAAAAATACTGTCGATTCAAATCAGGAATTTCAGAATTCTGTTATCTGAACGTAAGGAAATAACTGGTCATCTGTGGATGGCAAATTATATTGTAGTCCAAAAAAGTGGTTGGGGTCCCAGGGCAGCCTCTTATGAATCTCCCTCCTATAAGGCCTACATCATTCCTTCCACAGCAGTGTGTTTAGACATGATTTTAAATATTTCACTTCCTCCAAACAGATGAGAAAAAAACTAAGTTAGGGCCCGGCAGGCATGGCTCAGTGGTTGAGCATCAACCTATAAACCAGGAGGTCACATATGCCAGGGTTGTGGCCTCAATCCCCAGTGTGGGAGAGAAAGAGGAAGCCAATCAATGATTCTCATCATTAATATTTCCCTCTCTCTCCTTCCCTCCTTTCTTTCCTCCCTCCCCTTACTCTCTGAAATCAATACAAATATATATATATTTTTTAAAGGAAGTTTGTTCTATAGTACACAAAACTAGAAATATTTTGTTGTTTTCCCCCCCAAACAATTATCTTTTAATGCACTATAAAATGTATTTAAGATAGGTTTTTCTTAAATATAAAGAAAGCTTCCTGAATTAAGAAAGAGTAGTGAATACTTTTTATCTGCTTAATCATTATAAAAAATGCAGTTTGTAGCCACCATCATGAGCAGGACAAATTTATTTATAACGAGTGGTTTAAATGTACAGATAAAAAGGCCTATTGATACTGTCAGGGCACCCTGCAATTTGACAGATCAAATCTTATTTTCATTCTTAAAGCCCATGAAGAAGTGATATCGCTGACGTGCATTCACTAGTGAGCAAATTGATTAATCCCTCTCTATAGAAATCTCAACTCTTGATTACACCTATCAGACACTAAGCAGCATTATTCTAGAGTGACAACACTTTGACAAATTCCCCAACCATTTTTCTCAGCCTTTGTGGCCCTGCTAGCTTGTATTAACCCGATGAAAAATTAATTTTCCTTATCTTCTCCTAAACCCCAAAGTCCAAATCCGCCAAACTGGCAACTCTTTCTGTAAAGGTATTATGAAAACCTCTAAAAGATTAATTGCATGTCTTCAGGTGACATTAAATTAATTTCTGTACTCATGACAGACACTTGATACTCCGTACTGAGAGGACAGATAACATTGTCAGGACACACCGAAGGACAGTGGTTGGGGTCCCAGGGCAGCCTCTTGTGAATTCTCCCTCCGATAAGGCCCCCTCACTGTCAGGGCCATGCACGATCTCACAGCCCGCAGACCTCCCTGCACAGGTTTCTATTAACCACAACAATGCTGGGCCGCCCCCTATAATCTGCAGCTCACCCAGAAGCCAGACAACAGATGATATGCATGCTATGCCAAGTTCCTAAATACAAACACATTTAAGG